CCCCCCCCCCCGCTTAGGATGCTCCCCGCTGTTGGGAAGTTCTGGGACCCTAGGGCTCCGGTACCCACCACGCTGATGCGCGATTGCTCTTAGGAGGGACTTCTCAGGGAGCATTTGGGATGGTATCTGTACCACCCACGAGTCAACAAAAGCTCCAGTAAGACCCATTCTCTGGACTGAGGAAACTGAGTCAGAGGGCTTACGTTACTTCCCCAAGGCAGCTCAAGATTAGTAAGGAGCCAGCATGTCAACCGGAGTGCTGTCTTGAGAGCCTCCCAACCTTGGCCGTCTTACCCTGTGGAGGGGCCGATGTCATCCTACTTGGAGATCAGTTGAATACAGAAGAGAGCCTTGAATCATGAGGAATCTATGTATCTACAGGCATCCTTATGTTTACATCTGAACCCACGACTTTGCTGAACTCAAAAGCAGCACGTCTGCCATCTCCTTCAGGTTGTCTGCTTGGCACATCTAGCTGTTGTGCTTCTCTCTGCACCCCCCTCAGATTTTCTCCATCGTGGTAAATGGCGAGTCCACTCTGCATGGCTCGGCTTAAACCTTTGCAGTCACCTCTGGCTCCTCTCTTTCATACCCCACAGCAAATACTGGCACACACCTGTAACTTGTGTTTCAAGTAGGTGACTGCTACCACCCTTGCCTCAGTGTGGCCTCCCTTCTGTCCATCACTCCCCATCTGACAGCTTCAGAATCCCTAGCCAAAGGAGCATCATAATGCAGGGCTCCCTACCTTTCTCCCCGTGTTCCTTGAATGGCACTCCCTCCTCCCAGCCTTTCCCTGCTGGGCCTCTGCACAAATCCCAACACTCCTGGCATCTCCTTCACTCAGCCTCCTGCGATTGAGGACTCTGAAATCCTGTTCACATTGCCTGTCCCTCTTGATCTGCTCTTTCCCCCACAGGACTTCCCACCATCCAGAGCGAGTTAGATTTTGCTTCTCTAGACCATAAGCTCTGCAGGGGCAGGAATGTCTGTCAGTATTGCTAAGATCTCCTGCTTCTAGAACAGTGTCTGGCACAGAGGAGTGGATGGATGAATGAATGAATAAGTGTCAGTAAGCATCCTTGTGAGGGATGCATTTGAACACAGAATTATGCTTTGTTGTCTTGCAGTGCTGTTTCTTTTTTTTTTTTTTTTTTGTCGGTCATGGGGCTTGAACTCTGGGCCCTGGGCGCTGTCCCTCAGCTCTTCAGCTCAAGGCGAGCGCTCTACCACTTGAGCTACAGGCCACTTCCGGTTTTCTGGTGGATTATTGGAGATAGGAGTCTCACGGTCTCTCCTGCCTGGTCTGGCTTTGAACCTCGATCCTCAGATCTCAGCCTCCTGAGTAGCTAGGATGACAGGCGTGAGCCACCAGCACCCGGCTTCAGTGCTGTTTCTTGCGTAGTGCTTGCAGAGTGTTCATATCGGTGGTAAATTGCATAGTGGAGTGGATTAGTGTAAAGTAGAGGAATGGACTATTGAATATTTAAAGGTTTTTAACTAATAAATTGCACCCTCACCTAGTTGTCTCTGACACTGGGGCTATGACTTGGGAGATCAAGCTGAGTGGATCTCGTGCCTCATATCCTTGCCCTTTTTAAAAATATGTGTCCCTGTTCTAGGGCTTGAACTCAGGCCTTAGAATCTGGCTCAGCTTTCTTGCTCTTCTGGACTCTTCCAGCCCAGAATCTTTCTGGTTAATTGGAGATGTTTTGAAGATTTTTCTGCCTTAACTGACTTCGAATTAGGATCCTTCAGGTTCCAGCCTCTTGAGTAGCCAAGATTACAGATGTGAGCCACTGGAACCCAGCCTCTGCCATCCTTTAACCATTCCATTTCTGTTTTATGCAGCTACAGCCTGCTAGGATGTATACTAGTCTATTTTCTATCTAAAGTAGGGCTTCCTTGCCTGTGTGTTCTGAATGCTCCATAGCTGTACTTTCCTTCCTGCTGTTCAAGCCACAAACACCTAGTGTCCTCCAAACTCCCTTTTCCATGCCTCCTCTGCCTCTCTGTTCTGGGCTTATCTGTCTCCACAGCCATCTCAGTCTGGGTGTCAGCCCTGGCCTTGCCTCAGAATCACCCAGGGAACCTTTTTAACTCCACAGATGCTCCAGCCCCTCCCCCTACAAATTTTGGTCCCGTGAGATATTTACTGGCCCTGGGCACCTTGACACACAGAGGGCAGCACAGGTGCTGCTGCTCTGCAGTCAGGGTTGAGAAGCACTGTTCTGTACTGGTATGACAGGTGAGGTGTGCTGTACTAATGTGCAAGGAGCCATCTTCAGTTACATATCTGGGACTACATCCTGTTCGCTCTTGTTGCCATGGTGATTTCCTAGTTGGGGACAACAACTTTTACTGTTCCCCCCCCCTTTATTATTCCTTTTTTTTTTTTTTTTTTTTGGTGCCAATCTTGGGGCTTGAACTCAGGACCTGGGAGCTGACCCTGAGCTGCTTTGCTTATGACTAACACTCTACTGCTTGAGCCAAAGCTCCACTTCTGGCCTTTTGGTGCTTAATTGGAAGATGAGTCTCACAGACTATCCTGCCTGGGTTGGCTTCAAACCGGGATCCTCAGATTTCAGTATAAGATTACAGGTGTGAGTCGCCAGCGCTTATCTTACTGCCCTTTGGTAGTCCATGATTTTAGAACTCCAATGGAAATGGGTCTGTCTCAGGAGAGATGAACTGGCTTGAATGGAGGAATATTCTCCCCAGCATAGCATTTCATTGTTGATGCTCCCAAACTCATTCTTTATTCCGTTAGTGAAATTATTCCATGCTGCAGACGGACTCAGGATTGAAAGCGGAGTTTTGTCTTTGGTAAAGGGAGAGGAGACTGGGAATACAGTAAGCCAGGCATGTCAGAACTACTGGAAATCATGTAGTCCAGATTTCCACGTGGAAAGGTAACATTCTTTGCTGGCCTATAGACAACATGAGGCCAGGAGGCCAGAAGACAGTCTGCACAGGTTTCTCAACTATAGCACTGTTGACAGCTGGAGAGGGCTGTTCCCTGCATTGTGATATGCTTACAGAGTAGCATGCTAGAACTTGCTAAAATCCCTTAGTCCCAGGAACCCTGATCACCAAAAATGCCTCTCTTCTAGCCAGCTAATGGGGATAGGGGAGCAGAATTGCCCCCTAAGTGAGACTTGCTGGTATAAGGTGGTGGTGGCACAGCTTTATCCTGTAGGGGTGTGTTCTGACCGCTGTGGATTCAGCAAGTGATTTGGGGCCTCTTTCCTGAGCAATAAAATGGAAATAGGAATCATTGTAGCTACTGTAAGCAATAGGGGAATGAATGTATTTGTCTCAGCCTTTAGTAATACTCATTAAATGGTTGTGGGGGGGTTTTTGTTTTTGTTTTTTACCAACCAGATTCTGGTGTAGACATTTTTAGCCTAGCAGAGAGAGAAGGTGGGCACTGGTGGCTCACACCTGTAATCCTAGCTATTCAGGAGGCTGAGATCTGAAGATCCAATTCAAAGCCAGTGCAGGCAGGAAAGTCAGTGAGGCTCATCTCCATTTAACCACCAGAAAACCAGATGTGGCGCTGTGGCTCAAGTGGTAGAGCGCTCGCCTTGAGCTGAGAGCTCAGGGACAGTGCCCAGGCCCAGAGTTCAAGCCCCACAATCGATAGAAAAGCCAGGAATGGAACTGTGGCTCAAGTGTATAACACTGCCCCACAGCAAAAGAAAGTCAGGGACAGCTCCAACCCTGAATTCAAGCCATAGGACTGGCATGGGGGCGGGGGGGTGCTGGACGGGGGAGAAGATGATTCCCTGCCACCCAAGAGCCCTGGAAGATTACAAATCTGGGGTCTACTACTTAGTGGGAAATTTTTCAAAAGGGCTGGGTTGTAGCTCACTGAGTCTTCATTGCTGGGGATTGTAGCCTTTCCTAGCCTCCTTTTTCACCTCAGCCACACAGGGGGTCACCCTGTGCAGGGTCTGTTCAACACCCCAGAAACTCTACCCTAGATCCAAATAGTACA